ACTAAGATGATTAGCAAACATACTAACTGAATGTTCTGTTCTTCTGATTTTACCCCCAACCACTACGCATGAAAGGCAAATGGATTAAATTTTAAGATTCAAGGCGATTTTAAGGCATGGGTTACCAGTGGATTAGTCAGACTTGTCATAAGGTGCATTGAACAGAAAATTACAGGCATGATATCTCTGCTATTGTACGTCCATTAAGTGATTTTCCAGCAAACATTATTTTTTGACTTTTTTACCCCAAAAGTTTTTTCCGTTCAATTCTTATCTACGAGATCTAAACTTAGTTAAATTTCTGTCATTTGTTGTTAAATGCAATTCTGGAAACAACTAAGTATTTAATTTTGCGTAAAAGCTACATGAAATTGTACTGTTTAGCCGTAAATCATTAAAAAGAGAAAGCATCATGCTTTCTCTTTTCAAGTCTAGTAGGGTCTAGTAGGACTTAAGCAATGGCATTGCTTAAGTCCTAGTAAATGTTCTCCATGTCTACTAAGGAGGAAAATTAAATAGTTTGCTGTTTTCAAGAAATTGTTCTTGCCCATTGCGGTTTCAAACCAAGGATAGCAGCAAGTCTGTCGAAGTCATATACTGCTACTTCAGTGCAAACGAAGCATAGGCGCACAAGTCAGCGCTTGCGTTTAGTCAGGTGCCAAAAATGAAGTGGAAACTTAACCCCAAGGGCGTCCATGTTCGCTCCGGCTCGAAAAGGTAGAATCAGTTGTGCAGTAAAAAGTAATGCCAAAAACCTGCGGGGGCTGGGGAAAGAAAGGCGTCTTATTTTTCTTTGGCTTGTTCTATTTTCGCGACGTGGTACAGGCTACGAAATACTGACAAGCTCAGTATATGTCTTCACCGCCGAGAGTCACTTGCCCTTAGCCGGACACTCCGCTCACGTATCATGTTTCGTTCCTAAAGTTATTTCAAAGCACAGAACCAAACCTAATCAGCGGCCGAAGGCATATTTTGCAAGAAACTAATATCCTTGTGCCTATAGGTTCAGGAACGATTGACTACTACTAGAATTAATATCAGGGTCAGAATTTGAGTGCTACAATGGGAGGGAAGGAAGAATAGGAAACCGCCGCGCACACCTGTTTAGTCTTTTATAAACTTTCTCGTCCTGACTGTTTCAAAAAAGGGCGTTGTGGCTGCTATTTAATTTACAGTGTCTGTTGTAGGTGTCGAATTAATCTTACAGCAACTGGAAACGTGGCCACGCCTGCTGAAACTAAGATTGCTTGTAGGATGAACGGCTATAGCTTGGTATATTCACGAGCGCGTTTTGTCCAGTGAACTGAGTGCGTAGTGTTTCTTAACGAAGGGATTGGGTGGGTCAAGTGAATAGTTCGGGGAACGTTTGCTCTCTTTAGGGGGTATATTTGTTGATATCAGGAGTTCTGGCCTGGATAGAGTCGTTGTAAAGCTATTTTTGCTTCGGAGTATCGGTTTACCGGAAGCTGAGCAAGGAAAAGTGAATGGTGCATTTATGGAATAATAATAGAGATTCTCATGGTCTAACAGTGCGAAGATTAGACTTCTGTTAAGGTGGCAACGATCAAGGCCCGCATTATAATTCATGATAATTGAAGGTCATAATGTAGAAAAAGCGACTGAAATGGTGGATGCCATGCAATTCTTTCGGGTGGGGGCGGCGTACCTGGCCTTAACGGTTGCCCCTGCGACAGAAGGCAAGCATGCCCAGATTGTCCACGGGTTGCTAAATGAGACCGTCCCTTTCTTAGTACCCGTTCCCTGTCTTATAATTAGACCCGGGCAAATTTCTCGAGATTGCACCATCATTTTGGGCTTAAAGCTTCCAAAGTCCAACAATAATAGCGCATGTTCGCGACGGTTTTTTAAGTCAGTCAAGTTCTTAAACCAGGCCTTAAACGGCCAGTTTGAAGTGTCGATAACAGTTAAAAAGGCATACAAGCCTCATGCAAAAGACAGTGGGAAGGAAGTGCACATCGGTGATGGGGAAAAAGGAGTAGCCCACAGTTATTTAGGGTGTGGATCTTTCGAAACATTGTTATACTCTTGGACAGATATGCATTGTTTAAAGTTTTAGACAAACCAGGTGTAAATTTATAGTAACAAACTGTTAAATATACATCAGCAAGATTTTTGCGAATCCTATTTTTCGCTGGAAACTATCGTTTACTGGCTGGTCACGCAATCAAAGGTAACGTACTTTCCCACGTTTACTCACCTTTCGCTCTGCAATACACTGCGTTCCACAAAGGATCCAAATTGCGCTAGAAATGTTTGCTTTTCGGCCCACTTTTTATCTCAGGTAAGGCACTGCAAAGCTGATTCACTTACGAACATTCGAGGGAGAATTATTTCTTGATGTTATTCTGATTTCGCAGCCACGGAAAAACAGACCTAGACTCAGGTCCACTCGCAGACGCCATGGTACAATCTACAAGATCTCAAGAACAGAAATTACCCATTGAACGGCCTCTCCTTTTGAAGATTGCGTGTATTTCATTAAAACAGGTACATATTAAAAGAATCTTGTTAGTTTCTCCCTTTTAACGAGCTCAAATCGACGCATAAAACTAAGTTGACGTGCACGTGTCAGTTGACCCTGGGGTCAATTAGCGGTTGTTTGGGGCGAAATAACCTCAAAATAATCAGTCTATTTTACCAGCGTTCGCAAGAACACCAGACTAACTTTCAGATAATGTTGAAGTACCATATCTCATTAGGTAGTAAGCGGGATTTGGGGTGATTTGGAGAATTCCCCCATATAGAAAATTCGATTTTGGTTTTAGCGGTAAATTGTTGTATTTATAAGCATTATGCAAATTACGTTTCAAAATTCTGCTCGTTCGTCGATATTCTATTCTCTAAATCTAAAAAATGTGCCGTTCAGAAATTGTTAGATATCTGCTTTTTGAGATTTAAGTGGAAGATTGCCAATATATTCGCTCGTTTTTAAAAATCAGCTCAATTCAGTCACTGGGCTATTTTCCCGAGTTCGGCGGCTAATTTTAGGCCCGCTGACCGTTGAAATCGAAAATCTCAAATAATTCCCAAGCTCGGTCGCATTTTGAAATTTAAACCTCAGCAGTATTAAAAACTCATTAAAACCTTATTACAGACTGAAAATGAGGGTAAGTTAGGTTTTGAGCTGTGGCCACGATTTGCCGATTTTGCTCGATTTTTCTGTGCATTCGCTCTTAATTGGGAAGGCTTATGCACTCTAAGCGAGAAAGAAAAAAGAAACCAATCAATGAGCCAAAGAAAAGGCAAACAAAGTGTGAATAAAGCTTTAAATTTTCTTTTTATGTTGTAACTTTAAAAAAAAAGCCTCATTTATTTATTTATTAAGTAAATTTCAGAATAATTATTTTAAATGGAACAGAATCCAGGGGCTTCCGATATTTTCGTGTAGCTTATGGCGCAATAATTTGCCTGGTATGAAGGTCTCAATGGGGTTTTACCGACAGTCGTCCAACGGCCTGACAATTTACCGTCAGCCGTCAAAAGATGTTATATTCAACCGTCAACCGCCAAAAATGCAGTTTAAGATTAACCGTCAAAAAGTTTCTAGGTGTTTCAAATCTTACTATTTCAGCTGATCTTGACGGAATTCCGGCTCCTAAAGAATTTCTAAACTGAAAAAACCAGTTCTCTTGCCAAAAAACACTCTTTCTAGAGAATACAGTACCTTACAACCTGCTTATATCTGAAAATATTTTGAAATTTAGTAAGTGAAAGGCCAAGAGAACCTCCAAACACATCAGACAATATCAATTCATACAGAAGTTGATATCTACGTCAATTTTTGGACCCAATTTCCACTTAATAACCGTCAAAACCTCTAAATTCTAACAGTTAGCCGTCAAAATTGGAAACAATTATCCGTCAAAGGTAAAAGCTACCACTTCATAGTGACATTGGGTTTACTGACCGAAGGATTGAGGAATCGATATTTTCAGGTTTTGGTCTTCTATCATTATAAATTAAGTATAAGTCCTATCTTAATTCCACAAAAATTCAGTCTTTGTATGTTTTCAGGGATGTCTTTAGCAAGTGCAAGAAATTTTTTAAAATAATCTTTGAAATAAAGATACACGTGAATGCGAGTAAAAAGGATTTTCACTGAAATTTTTGATTGTAAGACTAGTTAAAAACGCGCTTGTTCCATATCCAGCAGTTATAGTTTAGTACCATAATTTCCTCTGCCATTCTTTACTCTTCTCCAAAGAAAACACCTAAACAAGGTTGAAGCTTATTTGCATACGTACCACAAATGAATCGTAGAAACCTGATTTGAGGGTCTCCAAGTGCTTTTTCTCTACTTTCTGAGGTTATTTTTAAGTTTTCTCAATTTCACTTGCTTTTATGGGTCTTTCATTTTGCTGGGTTTTAACGATAAAAGTTTTGCCTTACTTAGAAATGTACATACTAGAATTATTTTTTTGCGGGGTGTGGGTGAAGAGAACTAGTGAAAGTTTCAAGCAGTAATTCTGTTTTTTTAATAATAATTGTCGTCTGGAGTCAACAATTGTTTTCCTTTGGCTAGCTATAATCACAACCATCTTGTATTTTGAGTTTTAAAACAACTAGAAGAACTAGAAGAATGCCGCGAAACATCCGGGAATTTCTCATGTACGGCGGTAAAATTGAAAATTCGTGGAGAAAAGTGCGTGTGACAACAGCAAAAATGGCGAAAACGCAGCCACCTTCGAGTAAGTTTTTCTGTTAAGGTGTTTTACCGGCTTATTAATTCCTCTAGCTAACAACCAGCGGCTGCATTTTGAAAAGGAGGAATAATCAACAAATTATTTCGAACAAAAATGTGTTTGTTATGGTTTCTACAAGTATTATCAAATTCGGTTTGAAAATTGGCTATTTTAGATGCTTTGTAATATGCAAGTTTTTCCCCAGGCGGAAACGTTCGACGACTGAATCGGTTATAAGCTCACCTTTTGTAAAGTTTGTGTTTTAACAAAATACTTTTACGTTCTTTAGTTCCGGACATGACGGCAAGAATAGTGTTCCGTGTATCTGTTCTGGCTCTTCTGCTCTACAGCGCAGTAACTCAAAAATGTCCTGCAGGTGGTAGATCCGAGAGCTCCATTGTGGGCTGGATGTTACGAGGACACGTGTACGACACTCTTCTCGCTGAACTTCCGTTTACGTGCGTATTCAAGTGTCGCGAAGACAATCGATGCCAGAGTTTTAACTGGGTTATATCTCTTCTCACATGCGAGTTTAACAACAGGACAAAGGAAGCCAGGCCTGAAGACTTCATTCCAAACCAAGACCGATCTTACTATCGACGCGATTTACAACGAGGTAAGCCATCATTAAGTGCCGGGGGTAATCTTATATATCAAAGAACGAAGAAATTTCACTGCTTGAAGTATATGAAAGGCTAGGAAAATTAGTCATCTCTTCAGGCCAATAAAATGGCCTAAACGAGCGAACAGATGCATTTTATGGATGAGAAAAAGCGACGGAAATTTTTCTGGTTTTGTGCTTATTCATGTTTAAAAGACAGAGCATTTACAGCAGTTAAGAGGGATGCAAAATTGCCGTAAAATCCCATGTTGAAGCCCCCGGATTTATACCCATCCATTTGCTAACGAAGATATTATTCTGGATATAAGCCTTCCCCCAGGGATATAAGCGGGTCTTATGTATAAGCGCCTTTTGTAAAACAGTAGCCACTTGAATTGGAACTATGAAACTCAGAAAATTGTTTTTTTGATTCCCCCCTGCCCTGTTTATAAGCCCACACAAAAAGTTATACAAGCCCGGGGCTTTAACGTTGAATTTTACGGTAGTTCTGTACTTGGTATGTTCAATAGGTAGCATTTGTCAAAAACGTTATATTAAAGCGTAAGGGGTTGGACCACGGGGCGGAGCCTCCTTGTATAAAACTTTGTTGAGTAGCGCCCTGTGCATAAAGTTAAAACTATACAAGGGTAAACTCAAACTGATAATAAAGAATTGTTTTTTAACCTTTCAGTTCCCCTTGGTTCGATTCAAGAACTACCAGCTGAGACTTGTGACGAAATAAAGAGGAGTGAAGGACACGCTGTCAGCGGGAAATACTGGTTTTCCACTATAAAATCTGGTACATCTATTCTGGCTTATTGTAATATGGAGACCAACGGTGAGTTTAGTCAGTTATAAAATCGGCGACTACCGTTAAGCTGATTGTGCCCTCTGATAAGTTAATTTATGATTATTAGACAACTGACTTAAATGTTTCATATTTAGTCATAGATGCAGCGACTGATGAAAAATTAACCGAGAGCCGAGTCAAAATGATAAGACCCGAAGAAAAAAAGATAAATTTAAAAGGAAAAAAAGACTCATTTCATGAAGGAATGAGTACTCCCACCGTCACATGTTAGGGCCTGAGTAAATGCCCTTCAATAATTTTTTTCATCAATCAATATGTTTGTTGTTCTAGACATTGACGAATGCGGTGCTTCTTCTCCTGTATGTGACATCAATGCCAACTGCTCCAATACCCGTGGATCGTATATCTGTACCTGCAAGTTAGGATATACAGGCGACGGGAAAATGTGCCAAGGTATAATAAACGTCGTTTTACCGTGTGATAACAACGGAGATGGCAGATTCCCAGGGACTTGTAACGACCAGTCAAAATCGACAATCCATCGAATCCAGTCCTTTTATATACCGGCAGTGCATGACATCATATGCCTCCGGTTATACTTACGAGAGAATTATGAGAGATCTATGAAAAACGTTGAAAAGTTCTGACGTGGACCCCGGTTGAGGAAATTCAGACTGTTTTCAACGGGGATCGAAAAAGGTTGAATATTTTCATTATTATTATTTCATTTTATTTTGTTTGCGAGGAGCCTAAGATAGATCCAAGTGGAACTCCAATATTTTTGTTTTTCTAGACATTAATGAGTGCAGTGCTTCTTCTCCTGTATGTGACGTCAATGCCAACTGCTCCAATACTCGTGGATTGTATATCTGCACCTGCAAGGCAGGATACAACGGCGATGGAAAAATTTGCAGAGGTAGGAGAGAATAATTAGCTAATCTAAAGGACAATTACTTTACCGTTATAACATTAATTATAGAAGTTTCCTAAGGACGTGCGACATCGTAGCGTTCAAAATGGTGGATAATGAGTCCGGCAATCCGCTAAATCCGCCGGTAAATTTTCGTATCCAGCATTGTATGACGTCATACCTCATGTTATGCCTTTGCTGGAGGCTATAGCAAGGAGCGAGCAACTTCCTTGTACTCTTAACAAGGCGTTTTCACCGACGATTTTGGAGTGAATTTAGACTATCTTTTAGGTCCCCCAAACCAGTCAGCAAAACAAAAATGTCTGAAAATGGCATTTTTGACCTTTAAATAACACTGTATCATGAGCCGCCAGTTAAGACTGATGCGCTACCTCACTTCCGTCCAACGTGCAAATTTAAATCATCTAGCTCATAATAAGGATTAGATTTGAATAAGGATGTAGGACATTACATTCGTTGTTTTATATTTCTTAATTCTTATTCAACAATTTCACCTCATCGAAGACTTTCCTCAAATCTTTGGCCTATTTCTCGGCACAGTCTTGCAGTGCTCCCCAAAAAGTAGATAACATCCATCTAGTGATTTGTTTTGTGTATTATTGCAATTCTTCCGTTCAGTTTTAGTTTAAAATTCAGCAGTTCCGGATAGTCGTGAACGCCTTTTTTTTTTTCAGAGTTCACTGGTGAATAATCAGCTAGGCAGCCGCGCCTGGAAACGAAGTTGATCAATTTTATATTTATAAGATTCGAGCATTATACCTTCTATTTTATAGCTCCATCCTCCAAACATGGTAAACGCCAGTTGATTAGGGGCTTTGACCCAATCAGAAACGGCGAAATATTTTAAATGAATGATTGTAATTAACGTATTTTATTTACGGTATTTCATGTTACAAGTTGTTCGTTTATGTTCAGATGAGTGAAACAAGCTGTATACAAACAAAACGAAAGAGAAAACAATACTGTACTGTGAAACTCGTCAAATAAGTTCGTCAACTCACGTTTTTTAATGTAAAAATCGAAAAATTTGTGGGTGGCAATCTTTCGCATTTCCGGTGTCTGGCAAGTTGGATGGTAGAATTTAATTACAAGTGTCCGTTTAATACAAGTTGGCAAAAATAGAAATGACCATTCAGATACTCTTTAGGTGTCCACGTCCGCTTAATAGAGGTATCCGCTTAATAAAGGTTTCATATAAAGTCAATAAGGGAAATAAATTTGGGGACTTCGGCTACTGTCCTCTTAATAGAGGGTATCTGCTTAATACGGTGTCCGCGTAATACAGGTTTCGACAAAAAATGTTACCTGAATCACCTTTTCTTTTCCCTTCCCTTATATCCGGTTTTGCAGAGGGACTGACTCACTCCGTTATCGTAGGAGATAATGTGCATCACTTAGCTAATTTAGGCACATGGCTCAAACCAGTCGCCCAAAGCGAATCGTCAAAATGGAATCGCTGTTGGTGTGCGTCCGTGGATGGCTGGTCTGCCAGTACTTTTCACAGCCGATGTGACAACAAAGGACCAACTGTAACAATAATAAGAGTCGGAGGGACGTACATATTTGGAGGGTACACTAAGCTCTCATGGGGTAAGTGATCTTATTTTTAACAGTCTAAACACCATACAAAACCGGCCACCTTTTAGTATCACGCCGTGGTTGCGCATGCTAAGCTGGAGGGATTGTTGGCGTACGGACCCCCGACCAGCCCCTTTCCGACAATACTCTTTACTTACTTTCTCCATTTCAACAAAACAATGTTTGGGAATTCGGGTTTGTATGTTTAACAACAATTCTGTAGGCTTATTTCATTAGGGAATCGTATTCGTATTCGTAATCGTAACGTTGTTTCATGCATGGTGGTCCGATTGATACTACACTGTATTAAGAAAATTAACAGCCTTTTAAATAACAACATGAATTAAAAACAAATGTAATGGGAAAATGATGAATATGGGTGTTGGAGTGGGTTAGGGCTAAGTATTTACGAAGACGACTTCCTCTCTGATTTTCTTTTAAAAAAGCGCAAATAAGGCGAAGTCAGTAGTATACAACGTGAAGAAAGTTCTATTACACAGGGATGAGTCAGCTTGTCACTGATGACTTTCACCGTAGTGTATAAGTGGTTATATTCTTCTAATATTTTACCAGCCCACAACTCAGCCAGGATTTTTGCGAGC